TTTAGGAGATTATAAAATTCTGTTGTCATTCCCTTCTTTCCATCATTAGCTATAAAGTTGCACTATTTTGCAGAAATTTAACTTTCTTTCCCTCTCTCCCATCATAAAATTTCCAACTTCTATATCAAGGACCCCATCCGGATAGAACCTGGGGATTTATAGATTCCTGCCGTGCGGTTAATTTACATTGGCCAAACTAAGAGAGCCTTAAATTTCGCGTCAAGAACATGAGCATATGTTAAAAAAGGAAACAGAAGTCCTTCTGTTGCTCATATTGTTGTCGAAAATCAACTTTTTTTTTTTTCTGCTGCAAAATTATTCAAAAACATCTTCATTGGAGAACTGGATTTTCTAGAGGCATTTCACATTCATAAAAATCTTTATGTTCTAGTTAACGATCCTAATTCAAAAATTTGCCTTCGGCTTTTTAGAGAAATTATGTTTTAGTTCTGGTTTCGCCAACAGATGGCGCCACTTGCTTATTCTTGTCCAGGCTTTCTTATCTTATCTAAACATTATTTCCTATCTTGTTCATTTGCAGTTTTGCAGCTGAAGATGATGGTTCGGTAAAACCATCGAAACTAGTCCTGTGAAAATTTTGTAAATTAACGCTGATTTTTGTTGTTTGACTTCTGAATTATTATTTATTCGGCGTGTTATTGTGTCTTAATAACCATGAAATTCACCAAATAAAGTATTTGAATAATTTTATGAAAAGAGATAGCTTGGTGACTATTCTTTAAACATCGCCTTCACAGATTATAAGTGTAAAATTGAAAAACTAATTCCAATTTGAATTTTTCTCTAATTTCCAGTATAGACCGTATACTGTCTTCTGTTTTTCTTTGGCAGATACACTCACGGCACATCTCGAAATTTATAATGTAGAAAACAATAAAAGTTTCCCAAAAAATTTAAAAGCATATTTTTTTAATACATTTAATGCCCGTAGCACCACACACGATATTCGACTTGGTGGACATACTTAATTGGGAAATTAATCTTCTTAATACGAGCGTGTAATTAGTTCTTCAAAATCTGAAATCAGCCGCTTCTTTGCTCCGTTCGGTTACTTCTTGGTATTCAGCTTCACGACGAGTACTAGCAAATGCTCTTTATCACAAATGGTGTGGTACCAATCAGGGGCAATCCGGGCCAAGAAGCTGGCAGTCATTTCGGATGGTATGCAAACTTTCACAACATACTGAAAAGAAAAACACCCATAATTAATTATATGCAGAACACATAGCATAAATAATACTGAAAGTTAATTTGAAGAAGGAATAGACCTTTCGGTTTCTGTTGATAGGTTAGGTTACGTGAATATTACAAAGCCACGAGAGATAACTGCGGGACGCTTTCTTGGAGCGACTTTCTAAGGGAAAGTGGTTCGTATTTACATTACACTTGGGAAAACCGCAAAAACGAACCATGCAGAAAGCCCGTTCGCTTGGAATCGAACTCAAGCCAGGACGAACTACCAATATTTAGCGGTCTTAACCACTCGGCCACTAGTGTAGCCAGGCTATGTTTAATTAAGATCGTTAAGTAAAAGCTTCTGATTGAGATCTTTTGCGAGAAAAGTTTAAAATTCGTTCACTCGAAAATGCTTTTATTAGTTTTTGGACTGCACTGGAGAAGGAATATTTGTCAAGAACTGCAATCAAAACTAGTGTCTTTCATAATAAATGTTAATTGCTTAAAAATTAAATACAGCAAAATACTGAAACTTAAAGCTCATTTGGGACTCTGAAATAGTGGCGTAGCTAGAATTTTGCCGCCCAGGGCAGTCCCTGAATTTGTCGTCCCCCTTGATGTACAAACAATAACTGCAAAAATATCATACCGACACGTAGGGAAATAAATTAAAACTTTACGTTTATTTTTGAAAATAATTCCACCAATTTAAAAATATATTAATATTTTTGTTTGTTATTCTATTCGCGAAGCCATCGATGTCGTTATAGTTGTGTGCGACATTGTTCCTCTTTCTGTAATGTAGCCAGCATGGACAGATTTCTGAAGTACAAAATATGCATTTGTAGTTCTTAAATACCCCTTTTAAATGATTTTTACTTAGAAAATGTTTCTCATAACCGGCAACACTTAAGCCGTTATCACATTAGCTGTTTGTTGCCGGGACAAAACGTTTGTAGCAACAGTTCTGAGAAACGGCCTTTGGCGAAATAAGGTTACCATCTTCACTTGGCAAACAGGCTGAAAGCCAAACAAGAATCGTTATCGCTCAGATTGGCGAAGTGAACGTTTCCTGTCATTCGTTCTCGCTTCTTCGTGTTGTTTTGTATCGCCACACGCTTTCGTTTTTAAAATTTATTGTTAGTAATGGAACTAATAGGGGTGTTGCTATCAAGTTAATCACTTTGATCTCCACTCTGGACTTCATGTAACAGATAAACACATTGGTTGTAGCAATCATACATCAGTAAGCTAAATTCTGTATACACTATAAGAATAGTTTAAAAACATGTGTGGATAAGTCTATTTCACACATCGCTTATGTGTATTTTCTGTTGTCTGCATTTCAATGAAAATTTGATGGCTCACTGGAAATTGTGACCTGGTGAAGCATTTTCGGACTAACTTTATGGCTATAATACTGTTCTGTCCATTCAAATGACAAAAATCGATAGGTGATATTTACTTCACAGCCAGCAGATACTATTTAGCAAAATGAGATCAAATAAAGCATATGAATACTGAGCAATCAAACATGTGCGAGTTGTTACTGTCCCATAGAACACTCGGTAATATACCTAAAACACATTAATTATACCACTCTAGAAATTAGGTGTTACATCATGAGTTTGTTTTATGGTTTTGATTTATAGATTACAGCAAAGCACACTAGGGCATGCCTTAGGGAAGGGATGCCTTCGGGGAGTATTCTAAGGGAACTGGTCGTATACACGTACACATGGGGAAAACCACGAAAGCGTCATGCAGCCACCGTTCGCGGGATTCCGAACCTCGGACCTACTACCAGTGGCAGCGACTTTACCGTCGGCCGCTGTGGGCCACAGTTGGTTTTATGGATTACGCCAAGCCGAGGGATACAAAAGGAGGGATCCCTTGTAAGATTTTTTAAAACTGGCTCGTATACCAGTACAAATGGGACAAAAAGGAAACGTCATGTAGCCATCCCGTTCGCGGCATTCTAACCTGAGACAGAACTACCAGTGTTCAACGACGCTTCGGCCACTAGTAGGCCCGTGCACTTAATTGGAAAGTGCAATTCATATGTAAACAGACATGAAGGTGATAATCAATTGTGCGCTGTTTTAAGTATCAAATGTTATAAATGCACAGCTGTTCATTTCTTATTATTTATTAGTCATGTTTTTATTACGTAGATCATACGTATGATATAATTATGAATTAACCCAATAACAAAATGTGTACACTCTTTGTACTCAAATACTCATCAATTATTTTTCAATGATTATTACATACCCATAATTTGCAAAGAACTGATAACTATAGTTGCTGCCAATTACATAATCGTTTCTCTGAATTAAAGTAACTTCAAATAACTTCTTGGCATGTTCATTTTTGTATTCATACTACATATATATATACATCTAATAAGTCCTATATTTACATACAGATAGGAGATGCGATGTTTTAGAAGTTGTTATATATATTTATTAGTATTAAGTAATGATTAGATTATATTAATGATGTATATACAAATGTTTTTCATCTGCATAATAATAAATCCATAAATTTCAATGTTTTCAATATGTAGCATTTACAATAAAAGTATAGTTTCTAATGTATTTATAATTCAAAATTTCATTAATAACATGAAAATAATAGACAAATTTAATGAGTATTCTCATATTACATAAGCTATGCTTTTCTTTTTTATGCTGTTTAAATGTGTCACTGATTATGCAGTTAACAATTTAAAAGATAAAGTAATTAGGAGAAAAGCCGCGCATATACAAACGGAATTTAAAAAATTATTCAACTTAATTTAAGAAATAAAATTCTATTATATAACAGTGTTATAACACAATCAGCACGAAATACGACAAAATTTGGTGAACTTTGGCTACGAACAATTTGTAAACTAATCCGAAATGCAAGAACGTCGTAAAATAATGTCAACTCTGAAATTTCCAACGATTATATATTTTAATGAAATATATCACATTTAAAAAATGACTCAGGCAGTTGTATTACAACAAAAAAAAACAATAATTAAATCGGCCTCTATTTCCACCGTCCATCACTTCACAGTGAGAGCCATCGCCATATTGAAAGTTACCCGTGATCCTTCAGAAGCTGACCTTTCGTCTGATTGGTTGAACGTTCGAGGAACACGTCTCCCGCTGGAACATTTTGGGAAAAGTTTTAAAATGTTGCTCTTAGCCGGGACATGTTCCTCCTAGCTAGACGAAACGTTTCTCGGAAGCCTGCCGCTTAAAGCCGTGCTACTAGAATCTCGTTTCTCGGAATTGTCCCGGGTAAGCGCGCGCGTCTATAGATGTGATAACAGCATTACAGCAACTCAGAGGAAAATTAGCACTAGTTCGCAATACATTGGAACTTTAACTGAGATTGTATTTTAGAATAAACTGCGAAAATTCAAAAGGACTGCCGCTCCACGTTACTGTTTTGATTTTCTTAGCAATGATGAAAAAAAAAAAATTTCAAAATTTTACTTAATGAAGAATGTCATCGTGATATAATTTCGTTCATATTCGTACATATTGTTACGAATTTGGTATTTAAAAAGCTAATGTTAGTTCAATTACAAATTAAATGGTTTTATTTCTCGCGCAGTGCAGCGCGTGACGAATATTAAAAGAAAGCTAAGCCGGAAAATTGAAAATACAAGAGCGCGCGCATTAAATAAATAAATATCTCTTTTTGATTTCGAGAAAGTACTGGAAAATTCTAGCGCGTGATTTTAAAATCTTATAAAAGGAGGAAAACATCTCAGTTTGTAGTAGTAGTTGCTTAGTTTGTTGTTGTTTAGAAAACTGCTGTTGTTGATTATAGCGAATTCGCGGATTAGCGTTCTTTAGCTGTTTTGAATTACGTTCTATTGTACATTTGAGTAGTTAAAAGATAACTACTGTGAGATATTGTAATACTGCATGATAATTTGAGAAAATTTAAGCATTTTTTGTTGTGATAATAATAAATTTTTGTTCATTTTTCATCGGACTTGTGCATTCATTTCATAACGAACCCGTACGCACGCAACAATTTTTGGTGTCAGGAGTGGGGATTTGAATGCCAATAACAAGAGCGATGGAAGAAGCAATTAAGGCATTTAATATCAGCCTTTGCCTCATTTAAAGAAGAAATTAAAGAAGGAATGAAAATTGGGCCAGGAATCCGTTAAGGAGAAGAAAAAATTGGGCCAGGAATCCGTTTTAAGGAAGAAATGAAATTGGGCCAGGAATCCGTTAAGGACGAAATGAAAGCCGTTCAAGCTGGTCAAGAAAATGAAAAGAGAAATTAACCTGCATAATAGAAAATAAATTTGAAGCTATGGAAGGCAGAATTGACGCAGTTGAAAATAAATTTGGACATATTGAAGAAAAAAGTTTCTTCCGTAAAAGATCAAATTGAAGAAAGAGTTTCTTCGGTGAAAGAAGAAATAGAAGAAAAAGTTTCTTCTGTGTAAAAGAACATATAGAAGGGAGAGATTCTGCTGTGGGAGAACGAATTGAAGGAAGAGTTTGTGCCGTCCAACACCAAATCGAACAACAAATTGATGATAGGGTTTCTGCAGTCGCCAAAGAAGTTGGATACTTTAAAGAAATTCGTAGCGACGGCAGGGAACAATTAGTGATGGTTTTAAATTTTACCGATGCCTGCTCGTCCTCTCTGAAGCTATCCACATATGATGGGAAGACCATCCTGGCAAGTGTATAAGACACAATTTTCTATCGTTGCGGATGCGAATGGATGGGATTCCCAAGCTAAGGCCTGTCATCTCGCTCGCCGCTTCTTTGAGAGCAGACGCAGCGGATATCCTTCAGACGCTTCCCGAAAACAAAAGGTTAGATTTCGAAGCTCTGTCCGGCGCCTTGGAGCTGCGCTTCGGCGAGAAATGTTTAAAAGACTACAGCAGGCTCCAATTAAAATCTCGTCAACAGAAGCCTACCGAAACACTTCAGGAGCTCGCCACGGATGTTGAAAGGCTGTCCCATCTCGCCTTTTCGG